AATAGACAGACGCTTCAGTAATAATCATAGAGCCAGAGGTAATAATAACCATCGCGTTGGAAATAGCTATCGTGGTGGAAATAACTATCGCGGTGGAAATAACTATCGCGGTGGAAATAACTATCGCGGTGGAGATAACCATCGTGGTGGTAGAAACTACCAGAATGGCTACCAACGAAATAACAGCAATTATAACCAAGTCCGACTGGTGCAAACCACGTCGGAAAACCAGTAAAAACCCTTGGGATAAAGAAAACTGTGGAACAAACGGTTCACGCAATAAACCTTAATTTCAATCTTTATGTTACACTAAAAAATGAAGCAACACATAAGTTGTACACATTGCTGGTTGATACAGGTGCAGATGTGTCTTTAATAAAGGAAGATACGGACTCGTTTGATAACGTCAATTATAATAATATTACTCAATTGTCCGGTATAGGTGAGGGAACAACCAATTCCAAAGGATCGGCAATGATAGAACTCCTATCAACATGCTATGCCATCCCTCATGACTTTCATATAGTAGATTCAGACTTTCCGCTTCCATGTAATGGAATAATAGGTATAGATTTTATGAAGAAATATAATTGTCAAATAGACTTAAATCAGGAGAGTGATTGGCTCATACTGAGACCTAATAATATTGATCACTCAATAAAAATCCCAATACATCATACACTTCAAAATAGTTACACAATTTTGCCAGCAAGATCCGAAGTCGTCCGAAAAATTTCCATAAATACTACAAGCAAGTATATATTCATACCAAATCAAGAAATTCAAAACGGAGTATACATTGGGAACTCCATTGCAGACTCTAAAAATATTTTTGTCCGAATTTTGAATACCACAGATAAAAATGCAATCATTCAGTTAAACGAAGTAAATTTTGAACCATTGAGTGATTATGAAATAATAGAAACAAATATGAACAGCAGTCACATTGAGGTCTTGGACAAACTAAGTAAAAATTTCCCACCACAGTTCGAACACGCTCTTACGGAGATATGCACCAAGTACATTGACGTATTCGGAATAGAAACCGAATCGATATCAACCAATAATTTCTACAAACAAAAGATAAGAATGAAAGATGATGAACCAGTTTATATTAAGAACTATAGAATTCCACATAGCCAAAAAGAAGAGGTAGACAAGCAAGTCGAGAAGCTAATAAAAGACAAAATAGTAGAACCGTCAGTCTCAGAATATAATAGCCCATTATTGATAGTTCCAAAAAAGTCATTGCCGGGTTCTGATAGTAAAAGATGGCGTTTGGTGATTGACTATCGCCAGATCAATAAAAAAATCTTATCCGACAAGTTTCCGTTGCCCAGAATTGATGATATTCTCGATCAATTGGGTAGAGCTAAGTACTTCTCATGTTTGGATCTGATGTCAGGATTTCATCAGATAGAGCTTGAGGAAAGCTCCAGAAACATAACGTCTTTTTCCACGAGCAATGGCTCTTATCGCTTCACGCGATTACCATATGGTTTAAAAATAGCACCAAATTCATTTCAAAGAATGATGACAATCGCATTTTCGGGTATAGAACCTACTCAGGCATTCTTATATATGGATGACCTGATTGTCATCGGGTGTTCAGAAAAACATATGATTAAGAATCTTACAAGCGTTTTTGATTTGTGTAGAAAACACAACCTTAAATTGCACCCCGAAAAGTGCTCATTCTTCAGGCACGAGGTAACCTTTTTGGGCCATAAGTGTACTGATAAGGGTATTTTGCCAGACAGCAAGAAATATGATGTCATAGAAAGGTACCCAGTCCCAACGGACGCTGATAGCGCTAGAAGATTCGTTGCATTCTGCAATTATTATAGACGTTTTATAAAAAATTTCGCCGATTATTCGCGGCACATAACAAGATTATGTAGAAAGAATGTTAAGTTTGAGTGGACCGGTGAATGTCAAAAAGCATTCGAATATTTAAAAGTCCAGTTGATGAAGCCTACGTTGTTGCAGTACCCAGATTTTAGCAAAGAATTTTGCATAACGACGGATGCGAGTAAACAAGCTTGTGGAGCTGTACTGACCCAAAATCATAATGGGACACAACTGCCAGTAGCGTATGCATCAAGATCGTTTACAAAAGGGGAAAGTAACAAAAATACAACGGAGCAAGAACTGGCAGCCATCCATTGGGCAATAAACCATTTTCGACCATATATTTATGGCAGACACTTCACAGTCAAAACCGATCATAGGCCCTTAACTTACTTGTTTTCAATGACGAACCCGAGCTCAAAACTGACGCGCATGAGACTTGACTTAGAGGAGTATGATTTCACAGTTGAATACCTCAAGGGAAAAGACAACCATATAGCAGATGCGTTGTCGAGAATAACTATAACAGACTTAAAAGATATACATAAAGGAAACAAAATACTAAAAGTCACTACAAGAAATCAAAGTAAACAGAAAAATCTCTGCGCAGAGAAAGACAAAGTAGATTTGCATAAGCAAACTAAAAATAAAGCTTCAAAGCCCAACGTATACGAAGTCATTATAAATGACGAGGTACGAAAAGTAGTGACCTTGCGTACGACAGATTCAACATGTTTACTAAAGCATGGAAAAAAAGTCATAGCAAGAATTGATGTTAGCGATATGTACTCCAATGGAATTCTCGACTTAGGTCAGTTCTTCCAAAGGCTTGAAAGGCAAGCCGGTGTGCTTAATATCAGCCGACTCAAAGTGGCACCGAGCGAAAAGATTTTTGAAACAACTTCAATAGAATCTTTTAAAGAAATGGGCAATAAAATATTGAAATCATTAAGAGTAGCGCTACTCAAGCCGGTGACCCAAATAAATAAAGAAAAAGAAAAAGAAGCAATACTGTTTACATTCCATGACGATCCAATACAAGGAGGCCATACGGGTATAGCAAGAACAATGGCAAAAATAAAAAGGCATTATTACTGGAAAAATATAACAAGAGACATTACAAATTATATAAAAAAATGTCGAAAATGTCAAAAGTCGAAATCGACTAAACATACCAGAGCCCCATTGATAATAACAGATACGCCAATAAAGGCTTTCGATAGGGTAATTGTGGATACGATCGGTCCACTACCTAGGTCAGAAAAAGGAAATGAATACGCAGTAACTTTAATCTGCGATTTAACAAAATACCTTGTAGCCATACCAATAGAGAACAAAAGTGCAAAGACAGTAGCCAAGGCTATATTTGAACATTTTATTCTGAAGTACGGTCCAATGAAGACGTTCATTACGGACATGGGAACAGAGTATAAGAATTCAATAATTGAAGATTTATGTAAAAATCTAAATATTAAAAACATAACATCTACTGCACATCATCACCAGACTGTAGGAACCGTGGAGCGAAGCCACAGAACATTTAATGAGTTCATCAGGTCATACATCTCAGTCGACAAATCAGATTGGGATGTGTGGTTACAGTACTTCGTATATTCTTTTAATACTACACCCTCAATGGCACATGATTACTGTCCATATGAGCTAGTTTTTGGTAGAACCTCAAATTTACCAGAGTATTTCAATAGCATAGATAGAATAGAACCACTTTACAATATAGAAGATTATGCTAAGGAATCTAAGTTTAGGATAGAACAAGCTTTGAAAAGAGCAAGATTAATGCTAGAGTCAAATAAACATAAACAGAAAATTAGTTATGACAAGAATAGTTTAGATCTGAAGTTAAAAATAGGAGACCAGGTTCTATTGAAAAATGAAACAGGTCACAAGCTAGATTTTAAATATACAGGACCATATAAGGTAGAAAAAGTAGAAGAAAATAATAACATAATAATATCAAATAATAAAGACAAAAAACAAACAGTACATAAGGATAGGTTAAAGATTTTTAATTCGTAACTTGAAGTATGGCCATACACAAGCATAAATACATATATATAAATATCAATAAATACAAAAAAAAATATACATCAATTTTCTATGATTCCATCGAAAAAAAAATAATAATAGAAAGAAAAAAATATATATATATACATATACATATAAAAAAAAAAAAATAATAAAATAAAATAAAAATAAGATAAAAAAAAAAAAACAAAATTTATACATACAAATAAGTATATACATACATATATCAATTTTCCCTTTAAAAACATTATTAAACAAACAAAACAAATAGATTAATAAGAAACGAATCATAAAGATATAAACATATTTCATAACTAGATATACATGAAATTAATAGATAAATAATTTAGAAAATAACTTCATAATATTACGTTATTTTTCAAAAGGAGGGAGATGTAGTGTGCATACATAAGGAGTACACACTGTACGCAGTGCACTCTTAAGAACATACACTGTAACACTTTATTGCAGTGAATAAATTAATTCAAAAAGCCAAGCATAATTCGGACGCGATGTAATATGATCGCACATGCATTGGGCGACATAAGTGCAGCGTCAGTGCAACTAGTGTCAGCCACCTCAAGTGCACATAACATTCTCCCTCGCGCTCTCGCTGCCAACAGCGCTGAGTACAAATACATAAGTAAAATACATAATGCGGCCGCTCCGCTGCCGGCGTCTCTGGCAGCGCAGCTACGAGGCCTTAGCTAAGTTCATTTTAAGTAAAATGTAAGAAATCAGTATAAGTTCAAGTTTTAAGATTGAGTGTCATAAAAGTTAATAAATAATTAATAAAAACTCATAATAAAAAGTACGTATGTTATTACACTGCTCTTTTATATTATTTACATAGTATGTCTCCTGACTAAAAATGTTTTTATTCGATGCTATTTCTAAATGTGAAAGATGTAGTTCTTAAATAATCTTTTAGGTAAGTTATGTAATGAAAATTATAAATTATATATTTCAACCTCACTATACGCTGTAATATCCATCAAAACACATTTTTTAAGAATATCTAATAACATTTTTACTTATGTATAAATTAACAAAAACCGTTAAAAGTATGTTGTAAAAAAAACACGCCATGCTTCTCTTCCCAGGGTGTCAGCAATCTGTTTCTCAGCTGACACGCGATTGTGTTTCGCATAAGTTAGCAGCCCCGCATTCCCACACGTGAAACGATGGACAACAAAATATTTGTGCGCTGAACTCATTCAGGCTATGTGTTGTGTATTATGCAAGCAGAGATTGTGTGAAAATCGCCGAAAATCCAATTGAATGTACCTACAAATTGCCTCCCGCAGTTGGCTGAAAACGTAGCAAACGAAAATGTACCGTTTGTTGAACGTAAATCGCGCATCGGCTGTGCAAAAAGTGTTGAGGCTGCCGCCCCCAACCTGCTGTGGGTGTAGCGGTTCCCCCGCCGCGCAGAATTTCACACAATATCAGCAGTATTATCAAATGCTGTACCGCCAAGTGCCGACCAGAGCGAAAAGTAAGTATTTCGATAGACCGAAGTAAATACTTATTTATATTTGTGTCCATTGCTTTCAGTAACAGCGGTTCCGTTTCCAGGTCAGGGCAATACGTCAACGCCGGCGGCAGCGACGGTAACAGCGGCGCGCATACAGTCCACGACACCCACACAAACAGATGCGCTGGCGCAGAGCAAGAAAAAGCGATTGCGCAAGCCACGTTACGCCAAGTATGTGGAACTCTTAGAGGGTAAGCTTTCAGCATTCAGCAACTCCAACCAACATAATTTTAAACAATTTAGATATATTTTTTGGCAGTGACTGAACTGACGGCCAGCGAGCGGAAATCGAAAGTAAAGCGCCTGAAGTCCAAGAAGCTGTCCGAGTTCATACAGAGGACACAACAGCAAATTCTGGAGAAACGCGCCAGGGAGGAGCGACGTGCCAGGAAGAACAAAAGCGGCGAAGAGACCCTCAGACAGCCCGTGGAGTATCAAAAAATCAATCTAGAAGTCTTGGACAGCTCCATACTGGAGTCTGGGATTTACGACGACCGGCCGTTGATTTTCTTTGGCAAGGATGAGTACACGAAGCAAGTCGTATCGAATCCGGAGGAGATGCAAAACATACTAAAGAGTTTTCACAATTTTCGTGAAATTATTGAAAGCATGGAACATGAAAAGCAGGAAAACTCGGAGGCTGCGTTGTCAAGCTATAGGTAGGTTGCTGTGACTATCGGATTAAAGACAATTCCGTGACCCATCTCGTTGAATTTTTTCAGTTTTAATGCAGCTAAGCATGCTGAGGAGTCGGAAGCGTTGGACCCGTTTGAAACAATGGAGCCCTACATAGCACCACTGGAGAAGCCCACCGAAACGATTAAGCCCAGCCTTAACCCAGCTACTGCCAAGTCCAAGAAGCGGTGCGTTCATCCAGACCATGTGTCGTTCATTTATCTTACTCCTGCCTCTTCTCCTCTTCGTTAGGTTTAAATCCAATGTACACAGGAACGAGGAGCAGGAACGTATGGCGAAGCAGCGAGCTCTACACATCAACCTGACAACCTATCTAAATGTGTGCGTCTCAGCCAATATGCTGCATCGCGGTCTATCCACCATTTTCTCATACCGAGCCCGTGCCAAGAATAACATCAAACAGAACTACAACAGTGTCATTACAATCGACCTGTACAACATTTTATTGCAGGGTTATGCGTCCAAAGGCTCTTTCGACCGTTTCCAAGAGCTATTTAAGTTGATCAAAGAAGATTCCCTCTCCTTCAATGAACAGACTTACGCAGCCATTTTCGAGTGTCTAGGGCGCTTGGAGCCAACCGATCAGAATCTGAAAACCATTCGTGAGTACATCGAGCAGGCACAACAAAATGGTTTCTCTTTGGATCAAATTATGGATCGCTCGAAGTTTATATCTGATCAGCGTGACATTGCTCTCGACGCCATAAAACGTATACACCCCGATTACATGCCCACTTATGTTCCGCCCCAGCTAGGATATGACAATGAGCTGTTGAATCATTTAAATGAGTATGTAATGCCCGTGGGCGTCGAGCCTATGGATGCACAACACACATCCGACTTTGCCATTATGAAGCCTAAACGAGGCTTTAGCAAAGAACTGCTGGAGCAAATGGCCCGAGAGCAACTGAAAACCGAGCTGGATGGCAGCATAACCATCAAGTCAATTGAAAAGCCCAAGGAGTTTGTCAATGCGCAATTGTGTGTAAGTTCTATATTCACTACAAACGGCCATAAAGTAGCTACATAACATAACGAAGGCCAAAAATTTAACACATTTATAATGCTAACTGAAAATATTGATGATAAAATCGGTCGAGTCATTAGCAAATTAAATATTTTCGTCATTTTTAAGAGTTTTATGAGGCTTTTTTAAGCGGTTGTTAAAAAAGCCGTTTAATCAAAATATATATTAAGTATTTAAACAAGCTATAACAATCGAAATATTAATTTAATTTACATGCTTCAAAATGTTTATACTTCAGTATTTTACAGACCATTTTATCTATAAATATAACTTATATAACAGTTGTGGCTGCAAATTGGAAATTAACATGTTTTAACACCCCCTAACAAATTCAATTTGTGGAGCTACCAACAGTTTTTCCCCTTAGATTAATTGTTAGGTTCTTGCTTAAACACTTCTTAAATTTAGAAGCTATAAAGGATAGTGGATATATTATATTACAACTAAACTAATGTTTATATATATGTTATTGCACTTATCTTATAGCGCGATAAACTTAAGGAGCTGGAGCAGAACTGGCGCAAACAAATTTCAGCGGCAATTGTGCGGGATCTGAACACGATGCGTGCCCAAGTGCGTTTCAAGCCGCACGGCTTCATGAATTACTACACATATCTGAAGTCTCTGGACACTAGTCACTTCGTGGACATACTCGTCAAGGAGATATATAAGCTGGCTGAGGGATCCGAGACGTTTAGCCCCACAGTGGGTCAGTTGCACAAGGAGCTGGGCCAGAAAGTGCAGCAGCGGTTCCAAATCGAGCAAAAGAAAGGCAACGGAACGCTGGAGAAGGTTGGTGAAATTTATAGTGCGTACTGCGATCTGTGGGAAAGCGGGCGCAGCGATGACAACACACGTCAGATGTGGCAGCGTCTGGTGCACGAGCACCGCCACAGTGGTCCCAGCATGGACTTGCTGGAGGTGCCCTGGCCAACGAATGTGCAGGCAGGTGTGGGCCGCTTCCTCTACAACATTCTCATGCGGGATATAAAACTAGATGCGCACATTATGCGGCAGAAGGCTAAGCCGAAGCAGCAGAACTTGTTGCCCGCATTCTATACACTGTTCCGCAACCAGGGCAGGCTGGTAAAGGAAGAGGTGAAGGCGCATCCGGTGCTGTCCAGATTGTTGCGCGCCTCACGCCAGCAAACACTAACCTTTGAATCGAATTTGGTCCCCATGCTGTGCCCGCCGCAACCCTGGAGTACACCACACAATGGTGGTTATTTGCTGAACAAGTCAGAGCTCATACGCCTTCCCCATCAAGCGGTTCAGCAATGGGAGCGCATCAAGAGCTCCAATCCACAACATCTCTATCCCGCACTCGATTCGCTCAATCAGCTGGCCAGCATTCCCTGGCGCGTTAATACGCAGCTGCTGGATGTCATCATTGAGGTATTCCAGAATGGTGGCGATGCCAAGCTCGATGTGCCCCAGCCGCCGAGCTCACTGCCGCCGCTGCCTACGCTGCCCAGCAAGGAGACTGATGTGTCGCATGCGGAGCGTGCCAAGCAATTTCGTGAGAAACTAGGCTATCGACGCAAACAGGCCGAGATGTACAGCTTATGGTGTGATGCGCTCTATCGGCTATCACTGGCGAATCATGTAAGTATCTGAAATTGTTATGCGATTATATTTATAACCAAGAAGCTTTCCATTTTATTATAGTATCGGGACAAAGTATTTTGGCTGCCACATAACATGGATTTCCGTGGCCGCGTTTATCCCGTGCCGCCTCATCTCAATCATTTGGGCTCCGATCTGGCCCGTTCCATGCTCATTTTTGACCAGGCTCAGCCGCTAGGAGTGGACGGCTTCAGCTGGCTAAAGCTGCACTGCATCAACTTGACAGGCTTGAAGAAGCGCGATTCAGTGCGCGAACGTTTGCTTTATGCCGAGGAGATCATGTCCGATATACTAGACTCTGCGGACAATCCACTCACTGGTCGCATGTGGTGGGCCCAGTCCGATGAGCCCTGGCAGACGCTTGCCTGCTGCATGGAGATCGCCAATGTGTATCGTTCACCCAATCCTGCCGCCTATCTGAGTCGATTCCCCATACATCAGGATGGCTCCTGCAACGGGCTGCAGCACTATGCGGCATTGGGTCGGGACGAAGCGGGTGCTTACAGCGTCAATCTAGCGCCATCAGCTATTCCGCAGGATGTGTATAGCGCAGTGGCCGCGCTGGTGGAGAAGACTCGCAAGGCGGACGCTGCGAATGGGCTGCATGTGGCACAGGCCTTGTCGGGCTTTGTTCGCCGCAAAGTTATCAAGCAAACAGTCATGACCACGGTCTACGGCGTCACTCGCTACGGCGCTCGCCTGCAAATTGCGCGACAGCTGAAGGACATCGACGACTTTCCCAAGGACTGGGTGTGGCCAGCCTCCACGTATCTCACCACAAAGACCTTTGAGAGCCTGCGCGAAATGTTCACCTCAACACGTGAGATTCAGGACTGGTTTACGGAATGCGCGCGTCTTATTTCAGGCGTTTGCAGCCAGAATGTGGAGTGGGTCACACCGTTGGGGCTGCCTGTGGTGCAACCCTACAATAGGCAGGAGTTGAAAGCCACCGTTCGCACTGGATTTCGGGTGCCAGAGGCCATGTCTATGGATATGTACGAAAGGCCCAACATTCTGAAGCAAAAGAACGCATTTCCGCCTAATTTCATACACTCGCTGGACTCATCGCACATGATGCTAACCTCCCTTCACTGCGAACGACAGGGTCTGACCTTCATCTCCGTACACGACTGCTTCTGGACACATGCGTGCACGGTGCCCGAGCTGAATCGCATGTGTCGAGAGCAGTTCGTCGCTCTCCACTCACAGCCCATTCTGGAGGATCTGTCCGAGCTGATGCGACGTCTCTATAGCTTTAAGGATAAGTGAGTGTTGCTGTCATATGCAATGTCAAGGTACTTTTAAATTAATCTCTGTTTGTTCACTTATTCCAGTGACTTTACGAATGATGGCTCTGTGGAGGATCTGTCCAAACGGCAATTGAATCGGACACTCAAACAGCTGCCAGCCAAGGGTGACTTCGATCTAAATAATGTGCTGGACTCTGTCTACTTCTTCAGCTAATCAGGATAGGTCTGCTCTTCTACACTCTTACATCTCGCGCGTCCTAATTGTACAATGTTAGGCCGCTTGCCAGCTAAGTCACTTAAGTATAGATGGAGTTATTCATAGTATCTCGTTCGTCAGGCCATGGAGTCGAGAAAAACGTTACATTTCAAATGTTATTGTTTCACTCGATGCTCTGATAGTTGCCTTATTTTTGAACATCCTCTACTTATTTGTTACAATTTGTTAAACATTTCGATGCTTTTAAAACCAAAACAACCAAAACAAAAAAACGACAAAAGCCCAGTGCAATGGCAGTGGCAGTGGTATATAGTATGTGATTTTGTAAATGTTTATATTAAATATACGAGTACATGTACGTATATAAAAAAGAACCGACTATTTGCATTGTTTTTGTTCAACCAATGTTTTGAGTCACTTGCACTTTCGCTCACTCAAATGTTTTTGCCTCTCAACGAGCGTTGCTCTCGTATTGGAGGGCATCGCTGCTCCTTTTTGTGCTGTTGGGGAGAAAAGTCGCCCGGCATTGCTTTTCGGTTTTCTTCGCGCTCTCGTTTCCATACAGAGCAAAAAAACAGCGATGTCGTAGTCGGTGTCGGTGTCGTTGTCGTTGCCGTGGCTCTTCGCTCAGTCTGAAAAGTTCACGCGGCGCGTCAAGAACGTAACGTGCGGCAGGCGTAGATGGACTGAAACTGAAAAAGCAGAAGAAGCAGCTTAGTAGTAGCAGCAGTAGCAGCAGCAGCACCAACGACCCAAGGTTTATTTTGAAAAGTGTTAACGCGTTGTAATATTTTTTGGTCAATTGCTGCATATTTCAACTTTGTGCGTGTGTGTGTGTGTAATTGTGTGGTACTCTGTTTATGTTTAGGCGAATTAAAAACCAAAGTGTTGAAAAGGTATTAATACCTAATTGGAAAGAAAACAGATCCAAACAATATTCAATTTTTTTTCTTCTCCCTTACCTTATCACACATCCATCGGATCAGCTGCCGTCGCTTCCTGCAGTTCAAATATGTAAGTAATAAATTTAAAACCATTCGATGCAAAACAAAATGCACAAAGAACAACAATAACGACGCGAGAGTATAAATTTGTAGCTTGCTCTGCAATTTCTTGCTATATTTCCCTTTTTATTTATTTTTGTCTCGCTATGGCGCTTTGTCTTCTCGTCTCGGTCCTCCTTTCCGTCACCACTCTATAAATGTAAGTTAATTGTGCAAATTGCAATTAATAAATGGGGAAAACAAAACAAAAAAGCCGTATCAGAAACAGAATAAAAACTTATCAACAAGAAATGTGCGCGATGCGATGTGTTATCAAAAGGCGGAATGTATCACATTAAAATTAATTAAACTATAAACTACTCGTAAACGCAAATGTTGGCTACAACAGCAGCCGTCACAGTAGCAAGCCGTATACTTGTATGTACAGATGTATGTATATATCGACATCCAAAGTTCGTCGTCATCTGGTTACATTGCCATATGTAATTTCTTCCATTATGCCTATAAGTGTGCGTTAGTGTTAGTGTTGAGTGTGTGTTTGTGTTTGTGGGGGTGCTGAATCCAAAAGCATTCATTATACATAGATAGATAGATAAAAACACATTTGTATCTGTTGCTGTTTGTGTTCGTGTGTGTGTACGCATGTGTGTGTGAGTAGCGCTTGTAATTGGAGCAATGCTTGATTCCATTTATCTCTAACGGTCGCGATAATGTCATAAGTGGCAGGCTGTGCTTCAATTCGATTGAGTGTGTGTGTGTGTGTAGCGTGTGCTTAACTTATAAAAGAAATTAAGTCATGTATCATATACTCGTATACTTGTATGTATATAGTACTTATGTATTACTTGTATAATGTTTTCGCCTCTCTTTGTGCTCGTCCGAGCATTGACATTTTTATCGGCCTACCGGTCAAACCATTAATGCCGAAAATAGCCGCTATTAGCAGCACAATGCATTTGTAAATACTCGTATGTAAATACAGAAGTTCATTAAGTAGGGGTAGCGGCAAGTGGGAAGACGCTAATCTGTGATTCAAAAAGACTGTGCATGATATATAAAGAAATATTCGGCTTCGATAATGGCTACAAGCTTACTAAAAGAAATTTAAATCTGGGCTCTTTCCACTTCGTTTATAAGGAATATATTTGTCACAATTACCCTTTTAAAGGAATAGTAACACAATTTTAGAAAAAAGGACAGCACACTTTTAGGAGTCGCTTATCCGTTTTGAAGCACTGGTTTGCACAAAATGTTCATTTGTAACATAAATAATTGCATTTTGTTGGAAAATGCTAGAAGTTATCCATTTTACTTTCGTGGGTAACCAAAATCATAAATTATTATCCCTGCAACGCAAGCTACTTGTTAGTATTAAGCACTATGTTTTCAGATAACTACAAATGGCACTTAAGTGATACTAGCACTTCAACTTAATTTAATCGCTTTCAGCTATCATAATTGCAATTAAAATCGAGCGCGTTCATTCAATGTTCTATACTTCACACTTATAATCAAGAATAGGTGTACTTTTTGTCAGAAGCTAGTTATGTTCTCAATCACCACAGTTTTGAAGGACCAACTAAACTAAATTCAATTCATGGGTGAAGAATCAAAGAAACTGGGAATGCTCGCATTCACGAAATGAGCCCTTTGTTACCGCTTTTCTTCTTTACATTGTTTAAATCCTTAAAAGCTTTTTTCCTACTATCTTCAGCTCATAAAACCTCAACAAACAAATTGCTCCCCAAAGCCTTCAAGTGCATTAGTTCGATAGAACCGTAGAGTATTCATCTATTTATGACCTAATGCTGACGAACATGTATTTGATAAGTTCTTGCAATTTTTTGCACGTAAACTAAACCGATTGTGACTCGTAAATCCGCTTATTATATCATAAAGCATTTGGGAAAAGCAAACAATTTGATAACTTTATTATTGTGATTGAACTACACTTTAAAACAAGAGAGAAGGCAAAGTAAAAAAAAAAAAAAAATATTAGCAAAAGCATTTCTCGACTGTAACATTCCCTCAATCTTCACTTTATGACGTTTTTAAAAAGGCAATTTTTCGTTTCAATTTCTATCCGAAAAATGTTGCTTTAAAAAAGAGCAAGAATGAACAAGAATGAACAAAAAGGGACGCAAATTTGTAAGAAATAGACAACAAGTGTGGTAGTACATTCGGTTCTGTAAAGTTCGTTAAAAAAATACATACCCATGTATGCATATGTCTAAAAATAAATAAATCGTAGCCGAAGAAATATAATTAAATTGATGATGAAGATAAGCTCGAAAGCGACTTGGTTTAGTAATTTCCAACATAACAATTTGTTATAGGGGAAGTATAAAGATTAAATTAATATGCAAGAGTTTGCGGAATAGCTTTTTCAAATGCATTATTTCTTTATTTATAAAAGAGAAGGTTATCAATTAATTCTTAATTCCAACGTATGCTTTTAATCATATTTCTGAATAATATGCCTATGAGGATATATTAGTACATTATCAGTTGTTGGGGAATTTAGAGCAATTTCTGGTATGACATTCATTTCCGATCTGTAGGGTTTCTGGTTGTGACAGACAGTATAATTGGCAGATTGGGTGATGCTGTAATAGGTATAAATTGATGATTTCTTTCAGTGTAGTCGCAAGTTGAGCATCATTCCGATGATTTTTGTTAGTTTATAAGCAGATCTTGTAGTAAATAAGTTCAATTTACCACTTTGCTTCTGAATCAAACCTCAACAATAACACTTGACTCATAAAACTTTACATTGAGTCATAATACTTTTGGCAACTAGTGTGGAAACACTCAATTATTGAGACTTTTTACAGCGCCATTTTCGATGGTGTTGTGCATTGATTTCCATTTTGCTGCCGCATGCTTCGCTTTCTATATTTTTTTCGGCGTAATTTATGAATACAGTTTAATGTACCGTTGGCGTGCACAGCCACACTTACTGACAAGCTGCGAGCCACACTTTGTTTGCCTAAATGCGCCAGAGTCGAAGCCGGAGCCGGAGCCGGAGCCGGAGCGGCAGCATTGGGTCCGGCGTATATTTTGGTTGCCATTATTACAGCCATTTCCGTTCGCAGATTTCCGGTGATTATTTCCACTGCCAGTGCCCCTGCGGCCCCAGCGCCTGTCCCTGCCCCTGCCAATGACTGACAGGGCCAATGGCCATTTGGTGACGCTACTGGCTGCTTGATTTAATTAATCGCAGTGGACGAGCATCGAGACACGCAAATGATCCTGCCAAGATTTCGAGTAATGAGCTCGAGCACTGCACAAAGCTTAATTATTCCTCCAACTCCACTTAGACTAATTGAAATGGATTCAGTTGGGAGTCGCTACAAATTGCTGCCAACAGTTCAAAATCAAAGTTCGACAAGACAGCTAAATATACAAACATACATATGTACTTGTATATAGATAGATACCCATGTATGTGCGAGTACGTACCCCTGTCGAGCCCACTGCGATATGAAATGAGCTTGTCGTAGTTGTTGTCTAGTTCTTGCTACCGCTGCTGGCATTCCGCAATCGATTCCAGTCGCGACTCTGTGCCAAAAACTGTGGCAGCCGGCAAACGTCGCTTTTTTTCAAAAAATGTGGGAAAAATTGAAGTCATGTCGAACAATGCGATGGAATGACATGACACACGTGTGCAGATAGTAGTAGTCAGTGTAGTCAGTGTAGTCGGTGTAGTCGGAGACCTGAGACCGAAGACCAGACCCCAGTCAGGGCTGGGGGCAGACGGGGGCTAATGCAAAGCTGCAGAAAAGCAGACTAGCGGAAATAGTAGAAAACAAATAAGAGAGGGAACACAACACACAAAAAAATGAAATAAAAAAGCGTGCACAGCAAACAAACAAACGTAGAAATTGTAACAAGCTGAACGCACCCCCTTGCCCCTCGCACCTCTCCCCTCCCCACCCTCCCCTACACCACACATCGCCCATCGCCCGACGCCCGCGGCTGCTGAACGGCTTGGGCATTAATAGGTTTTTGACTTGCCATTAAATTGTTATAGAAAAAGACAAAAAGGCGGCAACTGCGCTTGGGAAACAAAGTTGTCAGCAGCAATGAATGGGAAGAAGGCAAAAATGAAGCAAATTGCTCGCTGGGCTTTAAAATGATTTGGTCAAATGTTTTATTGGCCTTTTGGGCGCCCAGCGACACGCTCACGTAACTCGACTGTGTCGGAACAATTGGGCTTACGAATTTGACATGCCACCGCGTCTTTGGTTCGTTATTATCATTACCATCATTATTATTTTCCTTTACATAAGAACAACTCAAATTCGGGAG